CACACACACACACATACTGATATACACAGCGATTAACAAAGAACTGCTGTCTACAATGTTTAGCTCTGTGTGTGTGCGTGTGTGTGTGTGTGTGTGTGTGTGTGCGCGCGCGTTAAACCATGGTGGCTCAGAAAGTTGAGTTCTTATTATCATTCCCTGTCGGAGCACAATGAACAATGAGACAGATAACACGACTGAGGCATCTGTCATTTCTGACTCACTTTTTTCCAATAAGCCAGTCTTCTCAGCAGTGTGTCTGTCTCAGAGCAATGGATCTGCAGCTTCAAAGTCTGCCGTGTGTGTTTGCGTGAGCGTGTGTGTTTAGATTTTTCAGTTTATGTCTGTGAGCATATGTGCTTTTGTGTGTCTGTGTGTGCTTTCGCGTGGTCATAAATGTGGTTAAGGCTGTAGGTTTTAGGCCCCCCTGCTCTGAGCTGTAATGAAACTGAACCATGCTATGCCTGTGTGTCATATTTGAAAGGACTAAGTCAAAGCACATCCTGCCCTGTGCATCACAGTTGGCTCCTCACTGTTTTGACTGTGCGTTGTGGAGGACATATGCTCTGCCTGTTTCAGAAGCCCTCATTCTTTCTTTATTTCTGCAGGTTTCCTGTGCTTTTCTTTGTATTCATGTTTATTTGGTCTGACTCTCGTGTGTTTTTCTCCCCCTTACCAATTCTTTCAGGAACCCAAATCTGAATGCATCTGCCTGTGGTTTTCTACAGAAACTCAGTATGTGTCTGCTTTCCCAGTCAGACCCTGCTTATGCGGTCTTCCAGCACGGTATGCAAATAAATGCCCACACACACTACACAGAGCTACATGCAGCACCAGTAAAACCCTTTTATTCCTGTCAACTTCCAAGCAATGCTGTCATAGTACCTGCTATCTAAACATTGAACAGAACCATTAATAATGTTCAACACTTCAGCTGTTTGTTGTGTGTAGGTCAGTTGTTCCAATCAATTTATTTCCGATATATAAAATATAATATGTTAAAGAATTTTAGTGTCCATTTAAAAGTGCCCATTTTAATCCCTGTAAACAACTGTAAATGCCTTTCCAGTTGTATTTAGTGTGCCACCTGGTTGCATTAAATGAACAGATCAAGGAAGTATCAACAAACTAAGTCAAGCTCGAGTTTATTTGACATTAATTAGGCATTTTGTAATAAAACAAACAAAACAGAGAGCTTGTGAAGCAAAAATCCATTTTGTTCTAGATTCACTGGCATAAACTAACTAAATGATTACACTAAAAAGTAAATACATAACATTTCAGTTCATACTCAGTTTCTCTTTGTTGCACACGTGTGTCTCTTAATGCCATTGTAGAAAAGTCATGAAACAATAGCTATAGCAGATGTGTGTACTATAAACATGTATGTGTTAAATGGCCTTTAATATTGGACACTGAATTGTGTTTGCTTGCTGATTCTTGAGGGAAAGAGCTGATGCTAAGTCTCTTAAATGTCAATACACATTGTGACAACACAGATAATGCTTCCAATTAAAGAGGCATTGCTTCTGAAATGGGTGAGACTGAAGTATATGTTATTTAAAAAAAGTAAAAACACAAAAAATAAAAACATTTTGTTGGAAACTGCATTTGGTCCCAAGAGACTTGATGTTACATTGAAAACAGTTGAGTAAAATGTTTCTTTGAGGTAATGAGATGTTAGAGTTATACGGGCCAGTGTGTGTGTGTGTGTGTGTGTGTGTTTGCGTAGATGCTGCATGTGAATTTGTTTATGTGTGATTGTGGCTGTGAATAATTATTTCTGTGGAGCTAGACTGCTGTTTTTTCTGTCTGTCAACATATTCCCCCCTTTTATCACCCTTATCTGTTTCAGTTTCATTTTCAGCTTTCTTTCATTTCTATTTGCTCTCATCTTGAATTTTACCATCCTGTTTTATGTTAAATATTTTTCTTGTTCAAAAAGTTTATGTTTAACTTTATTTTGAATGTTGTTAACCAGTATTTCGTTTTGCTGGTTGTCCTAACAGTCTTCTGTACACGCTTTGAACTACTGTCTCCGGGGCCTGTGCAATATACCTGTGCAATATACCTGTGCAATCCACTTACAATGCAACTTTGCACTATAATATATCATATTATATTATATTATGTTGTTTCCG